AAATAACTTGACCTCAGCCAACTATATTCAACCATCATAGATCTCACCTGAACAGAAAATTTGAAGGCAGAACTTTGAAAATACTTCAGAAGTTCATTAAACTACTCACTGCAACCAAAAAGAATCCCAAGTGATGTTGGGAACAAGATGATACTTAAAAATACCCCTAAAAAAAGTTATCCCAAATCAAAAGCAAAACAGGAGGAAACAATGGTCTACTTACTAATGAATTTTTGATCAACAACTCCTGCATTGCAATTCAACAAGAGAAGGATGTGCCTGAAAAAAGGCTCAACTATAATCAAGTTTTAACCTACCAGCATAACCCGAAAGGAATCCTGCTAGGAAATGTAGAGAATTGTGAAATTAAATATTAGCAGTATAAAGAGCAGTCAGATGGCAGAGCAAGTAAGTCAAGGGAAAAAAATAATGCACACTTTCCTGTAACACTACTGATAACCAATGCTATTTCAAGACAAACCGGGGGGACTCAGTAACCTCTTTGGGCAAGGATCATTTACACCTTGATTTGGGGCCTATTACACAACCAGACCAGAAGCTGAGCTAGTACACACTACCACATTACAAATATTCAATTTTCAACAGAGTACTATAAATGAGAGTTAAAATATAAATTAAAAGCAATCTGAGCATTTTTTTCTGCTGATACACAAAGATTTTAAATGCTACGTAGAAATCTCTTACTGATTAGCACAGACCATGTTTGATATGCAAACACCTTCTCTAAAACAAAATAATTCCATAAGAACAATTTTAAACATCCTACTGTGCAATAATTTCATGTGACACAAGTCTTCCTACGCTGTTATAATGCTCAATAAAAACTGTCAACATACAGCATCCATCCTGAAAACTCTCATGCATTACGATGTGAGTAGGTGCTTTTAAGTCAACGAGACTACCCATAAACTTTCAGTTGTTCCTATGTTTTTACGGGAACCTGGGTCAGGAGACCAACGCAACACACAAGAAATGTGCTAAAGCACATTTGGAAATAAAAGAAAAACCCAAACCAACCCTATCCAGGAAACACAACTGAAACAGGTTGGTTTGAATTGCTCAGTATAGTGTATCTGAGACATCAAGATAAATTTCAAGCAAAAATATTAGCAGATCTCTGTTGTGTAAATTTCTACATACAATTTTTATTTATTTATTCCTCAAAAGCCCAGATGAAGCAAAGTTAACCTAACTTCTTGGCTTTTGACAACAAGCACTATAATACATGTATACACTGTATTAGTAACAACTAAAAAAAACCCAAAACACAATAAAAGAGAAAGACTATCACTTAAAGAGCAATCATTTAAATCTGTGGCAAAAAAAGTATTGTTTTGACTTACTACAGTACTGTACTTCTATATAAACCAGCACAGAGCTTTCTATCTAAGCTAACATTTAGAAACACACACAACAAATAAAGCAAGTATACTGCCAAAAGTTTTAAATTTATTTTTTTTAAGAACACATTTTTTAAGGTGTCTTTTAAAAATCTATGTTCAAGCCCATTATAGTTTTAAGGAAAGACAAAATTTAAGAAGTTAAATACAAGGATCTACTTACGTTAAAACAAAATTCTGTACTTGAAAGCTTAGGCATGCTTTCTATACTACCTCATAACAAAACAAGCAATTCAATGTTTCTGTTCAGTTTCCAGATCAAGTCAGAAAGCCAGGTGCAAGAAACCTCTACTTCAATTCAACTAGGGTGTATTTTTAAGTTCTATTCACTTCTTGAGTCAATAATAACAAGGTGGTACAAGATACTTTTGAATAAACAAAGTTATGATACAAGACCACTTTAAAGCTATAATGAGGTTACAACTTTGCAATGACTACACAACAGACAGACCCAACAAAAATAACTAATTTTTTTTTTTTGGAAAAAACACAGCAGAGGGTAAAAATGCAATAATGTTTCTAATTTCAGAATTAGTTTTTATCTAGACAGAGATGCATTTAGAAGTATAGTAAATACAGCAGAAATACTTTCTGAGAGCTAGCATTCCACTGTGGCCACACACAACTTTCATACGAGGGGGCTGAGGTACAGATCAAGACTTTCAGGTGCAAACAGCCACTTATGGGACCAGACCATCAAACTTCAGGACACCTTAACTGCCCTACTTTTTCCACCAAATACCAATTCTCTAAAATTCCTTTAAAGATAATTCAAATCAATTTTTTTATAAATTCCAGGGATTTTTTTATTTTCAGTTCTTAGCCAAGGGCTTTTGCTTTCATTTGTCAGTAGAACTGATACACAAACAGGTTTCAGCAACAATGACTCCTTTGACAGCAATATTAAGTTTCTAGAAGAGACCTGTAGACAAGGTTTATCTACTACTACACTCTTAGCTTTATCAACAGCTTCCTGAAAGTGAAACGGAAATTCACTTGCAAGTCAAGTCAGCCAGCTCACGACAGCAAGCATTCAAATCCCCTCCTAAAATCAGAAGCCGTCAACACCTTAAAGTTTAGCATGCCGGCTGAATTCTCAACATAAACAATAGTGGAAGCTTGGGGGGGAGGGTGGAAGGCCACTGGACATACATAGTCTTCAAGATCTTAAAACTGGATCTTGCAAGTTGTGTTCTATTAACACACCACCACTATAAAAGAACTCAAACTACATCAACACACACACCCCAATTCTTCCAGGCTCAAGTAAAGATGCTTTTGCAATACAAACCTAAAGAGTTATTTTACTCTTGCAAGTCTTTACAAGTCTTAACAGTCTGAAACATATCCAAGTTTCCAGAAACGTAAAGGTTGCCACTAACCGATGTGACAGCAGGTTTGATCATCTTCAACTCCCTTCCCCCAGCTGAAGAGTTAAGACCAGCAGCCAGTCCCCAGCACCAGATGTTACTGCCGTGAAGGCACACAGGAATGTCTCTTCCACACACTCAAGTCACACGCATGCACATACACAAAAAGTTCTTATCTTGCCCCAAGGATAAAACCGTGCAAAGTTGGAAACAACTTTCCCCCCAAGACTTAGAGCAGAAATGAAAACATGCTTGTGTTAGATGCGGATCAGCAGCTTCTGCTGCTGATCCGCATCTAACACAAGCATGTTTTCATTTTCTCATATTACAAAACCTCCAAAACAAAGTTACCTGTAACTTCACAAAAAAAACCCACCCCAAAACAGAAATGCTAAACCTAGGATACCTGTAAGCAAATCCTTGCTTTCGTCAGGAGCGCACACACACTAACTACAGTGTAAACACTGCCTCTCGCACCCTTCTCCACCGCTTTAGTGTCCCTTTCTCATCCCTGACCTGTCACCCTGTCCCGCTTTCCCCCCACCAGCCCGCACCTGGTCGCTCCCCCCCGGGTCAGGTTCAGGCCAAAGCCTCAAACCACCGTCCCGGCGGGCAGGGGAAGGCCGGTTCCCTCCTCCGGGGGCTGCGCTCGGAAAAGCGGCTCGGTCCGTTTCAAGTTTGTTTCACAAACGCGTCCGGGGGAACATCAGAACCTGTTTACACACCACTTCAACCGCCGCCAGGAGAATGGAAAAGGCGCAGGCGAAAACAAAAAAAAATATATGTTTTTCGAAAGAAAACCA